AACAAACTTATCCTTGTGTACTTTCATAAGACTTTGTTAGTTACTCCGTATGTGTGACAAATGTTTTTAAATTATCTTTTGTTGTTTATTATACAATATTAATGTTGTTGAATGTGTTGTTTATCATTTTGTTTGACGACCTTTTTTTAGATACTTTTATTTGGAAGTTCTCTATTAACCCAAGATAAAAATAATAAAAAATATTGCTACAATATTATTGTCCCTACAACAAAATTGTCATGGAACCATCAATGACATCGGGTACCGAAAAAGAGGGCGGCGCCACCTCTAAACGCCGTGTGTGGACATCGGCTGAAGAGAATGCCCTAGTTAATGCTCTAAAAAATATTGTAACCGAGGGGTGGAAAACGGAAAATGGCTTCAGAACGGGCTACGCATTTCGGTTGGAAAAAAAGATGAAGACCTATCTTCCCGGATGTGAAATTCGTGCTGACCCGCACATAACTTCCAAAATGCATGTTTGGAAGAAAACATATGCGAGTTTGGCCAATATCAAAGCAAATAAATCGGGTTTGGGATGGAATAATGTTTCAAAAAGATTCTCCTGTGATGATGATAAGTACCAATCGCTGATGAAGGTTTGCTTAAAATACCAAATCTCGAGTCGTCTATATATTTCACATCATTTACATATTCTCATTATATTTTTATTTTTTATTTTTATTTTTTTTATTTTTTGCGTCCCAACCTATCGCCAATAGGTTGATCCTAATGCGAATGGACTGAGGAACAAGTCTTTCCCCCACTTCGATGATTGGGAGGTCATATTCGGGAAAGACAGGGCATGTGGTGGTGATGCCCAGTCTTTCGCAGACGCGGCGCAGGATGTACAACAAGACCAGCCGTACGAAGAATACGATGAGATCCCTTCGCAGACCACGCAGCCCACCCATGGCCCGGGCAATGATGCCGGTCAGTCGTTGGGTACGGCATCAGAAAGTAATTCCAAGAGAGGGGGGAAGACGAGGGGCACAAAAAGGAGGTCCGCACACTTGGTGGACGATCGTTTCATCGATGTCATGGAGACTTTCTCGCTAAACACGGATGGCCGGTTGGCCGAACTCAGTGCCAGACTGGGCAACGAGCAAGCGGCACAGGCTCAGACGACACAGGCTCAAATGGGTGAAGTAATGGATGCGCTCCGGACTTTCAACTTTCTATCCGGTGAGGAGCGAATGGTGATATGCCTGCGTTTATGCAACAATGCGAGGGAGCTTGCTATGTTTTTGGGCATGGGGGAAGAGGATAGGGCACTCATGGTGAGGGTCATCCGCGATGGTTGGGGGTAGTGTTGCTAGTGGGAAATCGTTGTGTCGCGTTATGTTGTCTTTTTCCTGTGAACGATGTGAACTGTTATTGTTGGTTTTGTGGTTTTGTGGTTGTTGCGACATGTGTTTGTGGTTTTGTTGGGATTTGTGAATGTGTTTGTGGTTTTGTTGTCCTTATCCGTTGTGGTTTTGTTGGGATTTATGAACGTGTTTGTGGTTTTTGGGACATGACCAATGAACTGTTATTTTTTTTATTAGAATGGTCACCATGTATTGTTAGATTTTTTTTTTCTGTTTTTCTTCAACTTATTTATTTTATTTATTTTCTTTAAATTGTTATTTTCTTTATTTTTTCTTTACATTGTTAGATTTTTTTTTCTTCAACTTATTTATTCTTTATGCTATATCGCTCTTGCAGGGTCACTATGGCTACGTACAATGAAAACCCGCCATGGGGGTGTTTCTACGTATATATGGACCTGCCAGACTACCCCATCATGGTAAGTTAAACTTCATAACATGAGAAAAACTAATGACAAAGAAAGAACCTCAAAACTTGAAAAAAAAAAACAAAGGAAAAAAACAAAAGAAAAAACTGAAAGAAAAAACTTCAAAACTTAAAAAAAAAATGACAATATGAAATATAAACTTTCGTAGGGCATTGAAGAAGCGGAATGTTACTTTGGGAGACACGTGATGCCTTTTCCAGTTACTCTCGTAACTGTCGAAGGTGGTTGCTACCCAATGGACATGTGCAAAATTCGAGGTATAAATGTTGACGACCCAAGGGTTAGTTTGCATTTTGCAAATGGGTGGCAACGTTACGTTCAATCGGAGGATATACGTCAGGGGTACTACTTGTATTTTGAACGGGATGAGTTCAGAACGTTCAACGTGAAGGTCTATACTTGTAATGATATAGAGAGACCTCCACAGAACCGGTTTAGCATCAAAATAAAAAAAACTCACGTTGAGCGTGCTCTTTTGGTAAGTGAATGCTTTCATATTTTACAATTACACCTTACGTCAACATTGTTGTTGCATAATTAATAAAATGTTATCGTGTTTAATATTTTTTTTTTTGTTGTTGTAAAGCCCATACCAATGCAATTTTGGAACGCACATATTGAAGGACAGGTTCCAGAGATAAACCGTGCAGTGCTTATGTTCAAGGGGGAGACATATTCGATGCATATAGATCGATCTCATGGTAAGAGGCGGCTGAAAGATGGCGATATGCGCCATTTCTTTGAAGAAAATGAGGTTGAGGAGGATTCGGAGTCAGTCTTTACATTGATTTCGTTTAGGTATCCTTGGTTTAGAGTGTTCAAAGTTTGTGTGTAGCACGTATTTGAACGGTAAACTTTTGAACACTTTTCTGTATTGAATATTGGTATTTGGCGTGAAATGATGTAAGACGTGGGTGTTAGCATAATTCTAGGTTTATTAAGACATTGTTTTATGGTTTATTTGTGTTTTAGCTGGTAACTCCTATAATATGGCTATAATGACATATTTTTCATTCTTACATAACATGTATACGAATAAACATGGTACGTAACCCATAAATGGTACATAAATTAAGAAACGTAGATTATGCCTCAATATCCTTCATAACCATACAGAAGACCACGCCTAATTCATACCTTGCGTATTACATAATACAAACACAACTGCCTACGCCTTAAAGATGCTACGCATAGGTCAT